ACTAATGTAAAAGGAGCGACTAGCCGTGAGTGGCGCCCCGAAGAAGCACCGATGAACGACTAGTCGCTCATATTGCAAGCATACTGCAGGCTCGCCTCGCAAAAGATCTGTGTAAAAGCTAGATTTTTTTGACAATACTGTACTAATATTTTCTTAACCCTTTCGAGACGATGTCCCCCACCGGTTTGCGACGCTATAACTTACAGTGGTCAATCATCCATACAAACAAAGAGTTCTCGGAAAATGTCTTCGTCTATCAGACTTTGTGGAGCTATCTGCGCTGATAATTTTGATAAAAAAATATTCTAAATTTGACCGATAAATGACGATGCTATAGTCAAAATACTGAAAAATCTCAAGCTTCTCTATGTGAAAGAGCTACAACGTTTTTCAGTATTTTATAAAAGTATGAAAACCGATAAAGGCGGTTACATGTGATACTATTAATAACTGTCTCGATAAAGTGGACTAGCGTATAAGTACTTCTAACCCTTCAGTCGAGGGTTGAGCGAGTCGTAGCGACGAGCTTTACTTGTTATTTTAAGCATTATAATTGAATGCTACGAATTTAGATGATGTTAATTGATTTTGTAACATGTACTTCTTCTTTTTGATAGAACTTTGTTACTGACATTATTATCACAACCTGATTTTAGTCTTAAAACATAACCTAATGTTTATTTTGATCTATGAATTGATGTTGATGTTTAATACATAAATGCTAATAATCATATTTTTATGTAAAGATAATACTAGAACCCAATTTTAATGCTGCAGTTATTGTAGTCATATTTAAATCTAATTGGATATTCAACTTGGATGAACTTGAACATCAAAAACAAAATCTTCATTTTTTTCATTAGTTTTCTGTCTTTTCTTTTCTATCTTTAGCCTGACGATGACATTCGATAAAATGAATTTCGAAATATCACGATTATTAAAAAAATAATAAAATTAAAAAAAAAAAGAAGTACACCATCATGAATACATTTAGCTGCATTTACAATTTCTATTTCATTATGGATTTAAATAAATGAAGTTCGAATCAGGTTTCAATATGACTTTTCTCGTTTCTTTTTTGTTTTCATATCTGTTATTCTCTGTGTTTGAAAACAATGTCATTCAGAAGCCTGGTGAGTGTTTATATTTTTAAATAACATGAAATGTATCGGCAACATTAACTCTGCATTTCTTTAATTATTGTAATCAAAACGCATTTATTTTATATCTATTTTTATTTAATTTTCGGTTAAGTTGATTGTTGAAAAGCAAGAGTTGAAAGTAGCAGATCGAACTTATCTTTTTCATCAAGAGATAAGTCAATCTGCTTTCAATAGATTTATTAAATTACGAAAATCAAATAATTAATATTTATTCTGAAATATAAATTATGAAAAAAAAATTTATATTTATCTCAAATTTAGACTACTACTAATTTAAGCTACGAATAAATTGAATTAAAAACAAATATTAATTGACACTCCTATTCAGTGGACAACGCTGAAATTTTCAAGACGATAAACGATGCTCTATAAAAGTTAATATTTCTGTAATGGATGACAATAAGACAGATAAGAAAAGATTATTCATGCAAAAATAGATTGAACAGAAAGTATTTGAATTTATGCTGTAAGATCAGCAGTTTTTGGTGCACTAGTGTATGATGAAGAGTGAAGACTATTGTTATTTAGTGTGAATGCTTGAGGAAACTTGGTTCACTTTAATAGATTGTTCATTATTTCGATCTGCGTCAAAAGAGAACAATGACTCACTATAAAAAAAAAAGAAGATAAGTGCAAAGTGCTTAAAATAAACTGCACCAACATAGTTTTTTTGTCCTGATCGAATAAATGACTATTACATGCTTTTGTGTATTTTTCGTTTTATGATTGCATGACTATTTTTGTCTCGTTCTATCATTTCATTTTGATATGTATAATACAGAGCAAGCAATGTAAACACGATGCATAATTGGTTACTTCGATTTGTAACTTGCAACGGTGGACGTCGTTTTATAATACATACATGCGCAATAAAGAGTAACAACGAACAAAAAAAAAATACTTGAAATAAATTTAGTTCTCAGAAAGACACAAAAACAGAAAAATGGAATAAGGTCACTTTAAACCTTCCTAAAAGAGAATTGCTATGCAGCATGTTGAAAAAAAAAAGAAATGTTTCTCTTCTTAGTTTTTCAAACAACATAGTAGGTGGAAGAACTAGCAATGTAAACGATGAATAAATGAATCATGCAGTTTCTCTTTATTGCGAAATAATACAACGACAAAGTTTTTAGTTGAAATCTGTAAAATGGATTCTCGTAGAGAAATGTTTTATGTTCAAAATGTTTGAAGGAAATTAGATGAAGTCGATTTTTCAAAAATAGCTAATCATTTCAATTGGAAAGTTTATTTTAAACCCGAAATAATATTTGGCTTGGTGATTTCTATCAAATATCGATTTTAGATGATGCTTCAGAAAGAGATGCAATTGAATTTTAAAAAAAAGAATTAAATTATTTTCACGAATTAGTATCATTTTTGAAACCTGAAGAGATTGAATCTTCTGAAATTTGGAAGTAAACACCGCTGTCAATGATGTAGCTATCTGAGAAGACCCTTGAGCCATGTTGAAACTGTTTGTGATAGTACAGAATTATTCTGATTGTATTAGATGGATTCTGTAGAAACTCAGATGTTCATTCTAATTGAAAATTATGACGAACTCTATGGATGATTTTGAGCTTATGATGAAAAAGATTTGTTGCTGACAATCGCTATAGATATTCAATGTTGTTCTTAGAAATTCACGTAGACTATGTTTACGATGCTTGGATAATTTATTGAAATAAAACATTGTGAAAAAATACAAATAAATTAAAAAACTAAATAATTAAAACAAAAAATAGGAAAAATCTAACTATATATGGATCGAAACCGAGGAGAATAATTGCTGGATTATGTTCCTTGATATTGATCATGGTTAATCGCAATGCTGCATTTTCATGGAGAATTTGTGTTTGTAATGTAAGTCCTGCAAAGAAAAAAATGTACTGGATCGATTCAATACCAGATAATTCTAGAAGCAGTGTTGTCAAAGAGAAATAGACTTATGATAAAATAAAATATTAGAACATTATTTCAATGAACTATTATCAAAGCACAGTTTTCATATAAAATACCTGACTTATTTTTTTATCAAGACTGCATTCAAATATTCTTCTCACTTTGACGAAGTGATAACCAACTTGTAGCCATGAACAAAGATCAAAAGCTCAATGAATCATTCCCCAAAAGATTCTTTCAAATATTTTGCTCAAGTCAAAGCAAAGATTTGGACTTGATTACATTAACTATGAACACACCACAAATGAATAATTCTCCAAAAGATTCTTTCAAATATTTTGCTCAATTCAAAGCAAAGATTCGGAGTTGATTACATCAACTTTCAACACACGACAAATGAATAATTCTTGAAAACATTCTTTCAAATATTTTGCTCAATTCAAAGCAAACATTTGGAGTTGGTTACATCAACTATCAGCACACGACAAATGAATAACTCTTGAAAAGATTCTTTCAAATATTATGCTCAATTCAAAGGAAAGATTTGGAGTTGATTACATCAACTATGAACACATGACAAATGAATAATTCTCCAAAAGATTCTTTCAAATATTTTGCTCAATTCAAATCAAACATTTGGAGTTGATTACACGAACTATGAACGCACGTCAAATGAATAATTCTCCGAAAGATTATTTCAAATATTTTGCTCAATTCAAAGTAAGGATTTGGAGTTGATTACATCAACTATGAACACATGACAAATGAATAATTCTTTCAAAGATTATTTCAAATATTTTGCTGAATTCAAAGTAAGGATTTGGAGTTGATTACATCAACTATGAACAGACGAGAAATGAATAATTCCTCCAAGGATTCTTTCAAATATTTTGCTCAATTCAAAGCAAACATTTGGAGTTGATCACCTGATCGAGAGAGAGACGACAATTTAATTCCCTAGTTGTTTCTGAATTAGGTGAACGAGGAGATCACGAAGACCCATATCATCAACTGGTGCTGCTTGTATCATGCAGCTTGTTATCACCAATCCCAGAAGGGTGATTAAACAAGCCATTTGAATGGTCTTCTGTATTGTCGTTTGTTGCTGTTCGACGCTGATGAGAGAATAGTAGATAAATATGAGCAAGTATGTAAATGGTATGCTCTTGTAGTAACGGTTCGGCTTTATAGTCCGAATATTGAAAGGGAATGAGATGAATATCGACGCACACGTGCTTTTATATCTAACTGGCAATGAGTAGAAATGTCCCACCTATCGATGGGGATTCCCCACCCATTGATAGGAATGCGCACATTTATCAGTCCAAAATTCTGCGCTTTTCGGTAGGAATCCCCCACTTATAGATGGGATTTTTTGATCGATCGATGGGAATTTTTGACTAATCGATGGGAATTTTTGACCAACTGATGGGAATTTTCGACCTACCTATGGGAATTTCCGACCCATCTATTATGTTCTCCTTTTGTTAGAATAAATTTAAGGGCAAATGTGACTTTGTTTGAGGACAAACATAACTTTTATTTCAAAAAAGATGACCTGACTAGTCAAGTGTATATCACATATATATATATAAGCATCATCAGGTATAATAAGAAAAAAAGAAACGATGGAAAGTAAAAGAAAAGAAAAAAAAGATGACAATATAGATGTCGGATATAACACGCTTCTCGGACAAGAAAGAAAAGCTTTTGTTGACAAAACACTTTTCTTTTTTTTTTAAACATAACAACATAACTGTAAATGCATCAAATGAAAGAGAAAAAGAAAAAAAACAGTAGGAACAAATGTTCATATAATATCATGAAGGTAATATAAAACATAAAGAAAAAAATACACTATAGAGAAAAAGTCTGACAATAATAAAAAAATACAACAATAGAAAGAGAAAAAAAATATATGTTTACTATTATTGTTTACTCTTGTATATCATTTGATCTTCTTGATAAATATTGAACTTGACGACGAAACAAGTAGTAATGACGTCGATCAAATATATTACCGAGTAATCTTCGTTCGTTTTGTTGCTCAATTATTTTGTCTTTTACACCAATAAGTAATAAATCATCAACTGGTTTGACATGAGTATAATAAATATTGTATTCAGCAAGAATATGTCGAACTAATTTTGTTGTAAATCTGTAGTAGAATGGAGGAGTGATAAAATATCTATAACGTTGCATTCTGAAATAAAGATTTCTTTTTCGATTTCGTCGTTTTCGAGCTTCAACTGATCGTGTTCGACTCTGTAATTGACATTTCTTGGTTAAAGATTGTTGTTGTTGTTGTTGTTATAATCACTGACATCATCAACCATATCATGGTTGCTGACACATAATTCATTATCACTTGGTGGTAATGCTGAATTTGGTTCATTATCATCATCTGATATTGCTTCATATAATGATTCATTATTATTTAGTGATAATGCTTTATTTAATTCATTATCATCATTTGAAATTTCTTCATATAACATATCATTATTAATAGTAATTATAATACATCGATTAACTGTTATTTCATCATCATTAGTATTCTTAATTATTTGTTGATTAATATTTGTATTTGTTGGGTTGTTATTCGCTCGTGATGATGATGGAAATTCCTGAAATGAATCAAGAAAATTAATTTTTTTTTATCTGTTGAAATGTCCAATATAATGTAAAAGCTTGCATTAAACATGTTGTTGCAAAACAATCATATATTGCATCATGTATCATCTTATTTCGTTTTGATGTTGATAAAGTTGAGTACATTGGATCTAATTCCATTGCCTATTCATTAACAGTAATTGACTTGTCAATAAACATTCCATATGTATAAATTAAAGCTTGTTGTAATGCTCATGATTCATTAGGACGATAAGGACTTGGTTTATGACAAGTACATTTTGATAATAAATTCATTTGTTCATCAGAATTAATATCATTAATAATAATATTACGACGATTTGACAGGCTACACATTTCTCAATGAGATATTGCCCAACTATACCAATCAGCAAATTTAAGTTGAAGATTAACCATTGATGTTTTAATTAGCCATTCAAACCATTGATAAACAATAGCTGGATAAATTTCCTTACGTAATGGTTTCCAAGAATATATGTTATTTCTAAATTTAAAAATTAATTCAAATAATTGTTTAATTTGTAGATGAATTAATGAATGAATTGGTGGTAAATGGGCGCTAGGACAGATTGTCGCAGGAAAAAACGTCGCGGACAAAATGTTACATAGATAAAACGTTGCAAGGACAAATAGTTGCATGGACAAAATGTTGCAAAGATAGGTACTCGCATGGATAAAACGTTGGAACATATTTCCGAATAAAAAAACGTGTTAGTCATTCAAACATCTTAGAAAAATCGATTTGTATCTCTTAGACAGTGTGATCTCTAGCCAAGCTTCTACTGAATTATTTGAGCGAGGAAGATTATGAATAACACGATCATATACATTCCATAATTCAAAACTGAATTTTGTACCCAACAATGTAATGTTATGAAATATTACAACATTTTATTATTGCAACGTTTATCCGTGTAACGTTTTGTCCATGTAACATTTTGTCCATGCGACTATTTGTCCTTGCAATGTTTTGTCCGTGCGACAAATTTTTTGCAACGATATGTCCGCAACGTTTTGTCCGCGATTATCTGTCCGCAACAAAATGTGTTGCAACGAATTGTCCTGCGACGATTTGTCCATGCGACGATTTGTCCGCGACGTTTTTTCGTGCGACGATCTGTCCGGTCACCGGTAAATGTGCAAGTTCTACTAATATAACAAAAAATGGTAATTGTTGAGGTATTGTTTGAATTTGAATTAATGCTAATTGTTTGGTTGATTTTTCACCTTCAGTATCAAATGTAAATTCATTATAGTTTCGTACATGATTAATTAATTTTTGCATTATTTCAGTTGTTGTATATTTGTTTACATACATGCTTAGGGTATACCAAAAGTAGTGGCGCCGATCCGGTAATATTTTACAGAAGCCTTTAGGAAATTCTTTTCTCTATATATTCTGATCGCCCAAGTCAAGCTTTATAATTCTACCATATTTCTTAAATCTTCAAACAATATATTATATTGGAAACGAAGCAAAAACAATGAGTGATTGACAAACAAATTTTTTTTTGAAGCAAGTTTATCATGTTTTTATTACATAAAATGTTCAAAATAATCATGCCGGTTGTTTATACACAAATACATTCGTAGGATCCACTTATCAAAAGTTTCCTTATACTCTTTTTTTCTCAGCGAATTCATAAATTTGATCACAGCTTCATGCAACGATTTTGAATTATCTTGATCGTCTAGATTTTGTTTGATTAAATCAAACAACCAAAAATCGCATGAAGCTGGATCTGGAGAATTAGGTGGATGTTGCATTATTGTTGCGCCTTCCGATTGAAGATAATCAACTACATCTTCATGCATATGTGGTCTTCCGTTATCATGATGAAATTTAATTGATTGGATGCCTGATGAAGGTCGTTGCTTCCTAATATCATCAATAACTGGTCGCAAACAATTATTGATGTAATATTGATGATTGATTGTTTGTCCATGTTTAAGAGAATGAATCAAAACTGGACCAGTTGACTTGAAAAAAATACACAGGAGAGTTTTTGGAGCAAAACGACTACGTCGAACCACCGTTGGAGAAGGATCTTCACGTGCTACTCAAGCAGCATTCGATGATTTTCGACCAATTCGCTTGTGATAACACCATGATTCATCACCTGTTACTACATCGCATAATCTCCAAACACCTTGTTCAAATTTTAACAAGTTTTTTTGACATATTCGTGCTCGTTCAGCCTTTTGAAAGTTCGTCAGATGTTTGGAAACATAACGTGCAGTAACTTTTTTCAACTGCAAATGATCAGAAATAATTTGTTGGACGGTGCCATGGCTTAGAACACTTTGTGCTTCGAGTTCGTCAACTGTAACATAAAGATCATCATTAATAAGATCGTGAACTTGTCTAATATTTTCAAATTTTAACTTCTTGGATATTTATCTTCATTTATAAATGTGAAACACACGTGCTCTGTTTGTTTTTTCTGTACGTGTAGTTAGTTTTTGTATATTTTCTAGGTGAAAATTTATAAAAGCTGCAGAAAACTTAAGAGTATCAAAACGTTTGCTTATATAATATTGTTTGAAGATTTATAAAATATGATAGAATTATAGAGCTTGAGTTGGGCTATCAGAATATAGGAAGAAGAAATTTCTTAAAGATTTCTGTAAAATATTGCAGGGTCGGCCCCACTACTTTTGGTATGCCCTAAGTACTTTCATGTTACAAACGATTTTTGTATTACACTTTGGTCAGACTTTGATCTGTTTCATATGATACTAACATAAAAATTTAAAGATCGATATGAAAGCCTATGACTTCTTCGATTTTTGCAAGTAGAAGTAATCCAAAAGTGAGTTCATATCATCCTAGTTAGTTCTTGAGAATCATTTTTGTGATCAGTACTTCCATCTACGAACATCTCAACGTTGCTATTGACAAAAAATGTGGTTGGTATGTTGGCACTCGTTGTAAAACAGTTAAATTCATTCATGACAAATGTTGAAATACACATGAACATGATATATCTTGTCGATAGCCTACACTAAACACAGTATAGCATTTTTGTTATCTGTTTAAAAGGTCATATGATTATTGTCGTTCCTCTTGCATTTAGTTTTACTGCCGAAACTAAAAGCTTGTTAGTGCAATTCCTTTGAGGCTGAAATGTGGAACTCACATATATTCGTTAGTTACATTTTATCGATACAAAATACGTAGAGTGAAGAATCTCTGACAGACTAGACTTTCTCCAAGATAATCGATTGTCAGAAGAGCGAATCCATCTTATTTATTTCTGCATTTCGAACAGAAATTTTTTATTTATTTTGTGAAACACGATCTAAAAAAAGTGTTGAAACGATAGAGTAGAAATTTGGACCCACTCTCTCTACAGACATTTTAATTAATTGACTAGCTAATGTCTAATTAATGTCTAATTGGTGACAGATTATTGACTTCTTAATGAATAATTAATTAGTAATTAATGGACACCATCAAGAACCATGGCAGGCACCCTGAGAAATCACCAGTGACTGTGAGAGACCTTGTTGATATATGATCAAAAGCTGAACATCAATAGCGAGTTATCATAAGATATGAGCTACTTGCTGATTCAAGTTCTGAAGGAATCAATAAAAGGGTTGTTTATAAAGGTGTCACAAAACAAATAGATTAAAACAATTTTCCTATGAATATCAAGAGCAGCTATATTGTGTTTCACATTTTTATCCCATAGAGATTGTACTAACAGCTTTTTTACTGGAGCCCTGTTTTCTTTGCTTTGTTGCTATTAGTTCGTTATTTCTCTTAATTTAACATTACTATTATTATTCTAATCATTGATTTAATTAGAAAATAAGTCTGGTATACATATTCATTATATCTACAGCTGGTCTCAACGTACTATTATATATTGAGCAGTTCATGCTTTGTTTTTTTTGTGTTGATCATATGATGACTGTGACAAATCAATGCATTACGATTCATCATACTTGATATTCTGAATATAAATTTTTATCTGTACAAAAATCAAAAAATGTAATATTTAGAACATCCGCAAATATAATCCATTCATTCAAATTTCGAGGAAAGCTTTTGAATGTTCTAGAACAATCTAAGTCTTGTCATCAATGCCTTTCAATGGCTTCTTCTGTCGATAAAGAACTCTGACAAAAGAATTTGATGGCTGTTATCTTCAAAGGCTAAAGTTTGTAATGAGGGAAGGAGAGCTGAAAAAACTCCAACTTAAAACTTACACTGATTTTTTTTCTTCAACAATATATGTGAGTCCCACACTAGGAATAATTATTTGTACAATTAGTGTTTATAAAATATAGTATTTAGAAAACGTATACTCTAATATTTTATTCACATGATAAGATTATTTGTATGATATCAAATAACATGAAAGTATTCTAAACGAATATTTTATGTGCCATATTTATAGTTATTTCATCGACTTCTGAGAGAAAATGTACATTATTACAATATGATTGTTATATGTAACGATTAATAGATATTCATCGATAATTCTAAGATTTAGACATTTTGTAAAATATACTATTCCATAAATCAACGACAGTTTTTTTTGTATACGTTGTCTTTTGTAGAACTCACATATATTTTCGAAGAAAATAGTGAGTGTAAGTTTTAAAGTCAAAGTTTCGCGGCTCCCTCCCCCTACCCTTACAGATACAAAGCAGCATAGGCTCCCATTACAGACAGGTCTCCAATACAGACACTAGCAATTAAGAATAACATGCGTCAGACTTTCTAGTTTTTTTGAAAAATTGATCAAGTTATAATTTTGAAAGACAATTAACATTATTGTTTGTGAGCTAATTAATATATATATAATAGTGCTTAAGATCTTCTGTAGATATGATGGATATATAAAACAGATTTATTCGACAATTAATTCAATGATTATAATAATAAGAATGCTGAGTTATGAAAAACGATTTAAAATTTAAAAAAAATGAAAAATAATAAGCGAATAGCAACAATGCAAAATAAAAATAGGGTGCTCTCAAACGAAAAAAAATTTGTTTTAAATGTAGACATAAGTAACAGAGTCTCGTTCTTGTCATTGATTATCAATGAAAACAACTACGATGTACACGAAATTTTTCAATTTATATATGATGCATTAGAATATTAAGATTTAAGGATATATGTGAGTTCCACATTTCAGCTCCAAAGGAGCTGTGTTAACAAGCATTTTTCTTAATGAAAATGAATATTGTTGTTATTCAAGATATAAAACTTGTTGAAAAACTGCACACCGAATATAAGTTAGTTTATGCTTTTAATTCTTATTAACTAATCATAGTACATATATTTCAAGAAGAATAATCATAATTAATTTATACATATATTTAAATGCAGATCATTAAATAAATAAATATTAAAATTTCACTTTGCATTAATTTCTTGTTTAAATAAATCATTTTATACTAAGAGAGGATCATTTTCGTTTACTGCTGATGTTAATTTATCGTCATCATTATCAATTTGTTTTTGTTTTATTGATTCTTTTTTTCTATCCATACGATTTACTAATGTTCGAAGATATTCAGCTTCAGCTTGACCGGCTTGTTCTGCTAATGAACTAAAATAACTATTTGAATTTGATAATAAAGCAAATGGTGTATCCAATTCAACTAATTCTCCATTATTTATTACCTTCAATAGAAAAAAAAAACAAATACAATTTCCAAAAAAAAACCAAAACATGAATATGAATTTACCATGATTCGATCATTATCAATTACAGTCCTTAAACGATGTGCTATTGTTAATACTGTACATTCTTTGAATTTATTTCGAATAACTTGTTGTATCAATTCATCCGTACTAAATTATATTATAAATAACTAATATCATCAAACATATTTGTTTTGTTAACTTACGCATTATCAACATTTGCTGTTGCTTCATCAATAACAAGAATTTTACTTTTTTTTAATATTGCTCTTGCTAAACATATTAATTGTTTTTGACCAATACTTAAATTAGAACCATTTTCAGTAATTAATGAATCAAGTCCATCTGACATTAAATTATTAACTAAAGTTTTTAATTGTACCTAAATTAAAATTATTATTATTAATCAATTATTAAAATTAAAATATTTCTAACAAACTTCTTCTAATGCATTCCATATTTGATCATCAGAATAATTATTAAATTGATCAAGATTATATCGAATTGTACCTGAAAAAAGAATTGGATCTTGTGGAATTATTGAAATACGACTTCGAAGATCATCTAATCCAATTGTTGTTATATTTATATTATCAATTTCAATTTGACCATTAACAAGTATTCCCATACGAAAAAGTGTTTGAATAAAAGAACTTTTTCCTGCACCAGTTCTTCCGACAATACCTATTTTTTCACCACCTTCAATCGTTAATGTTATATTACGTAAAGCTAATGGTGAATATTCATCATTTGAATATTTCAAAGAAACATTATCAAATACAATTTGACCTTGTAATGGCCAATTATTTGGTGGACGATATTTAGTTAGAACTTGAGCAGCTGGTTCTTGATCAAGTGAACAATATTCTAATACTCGTTCAACAGCTGTCATTTCAGTTTCAGTTCTTACTGATAGTCTAAAAATATTCAAAAAATAAAATAAAATAAAAATTCAATTAATACTTTGTTAATCAAACCTAATTGTCCATTGAAGAAGTCCCATTAAACTAAAACTATAAGAAAGCATAAGAGCAATAGCAGCAGTTGAAAATTCTTTGTGATAAAGCCGTACAAGTATAGCAAATGATGTAACAAGACCAAGAAATATTAATGTTATCCATTCAAAACGTAAAGCTGCCCATCTTTCAGTTATTGCAATAAAAAAATTAGCTCGAGTATTATCATCAAAATAAGAAAGGAATTCTTTCGAACACATTTTTTCAGCATAATGAGATCGAATAACTTTTAATCCATGAATAGTTGATGATAAATATGAATAAACAGGACTTCGTGTTATACCTTCAATTCGTTTTAAATCACGAAAACATCGAGCAAAACGATAACGTATAACTAACAATCCAATAATTCCTATTACACCTGAAATAAATGACCAAGCATTAATTAATCCAACTAAGGCAAGTACTCCCACAACTGAAGACAAACACTAAACAAATCATCATATTACTAGAAATTCTATGAAGATAATAACTGACTTGTAAAAATAATGGAACATCTCTTGATAGATCAGTGTCCATCATAGCAACATCTCTTGTAAAATGATTTAATATTCGACCTAAGTCGAAAACAAAAAATCTATTTATATAAACTTTCATTAATAAACTAAAAGCATACCAATTGGATTCATATCAAAAAATAAAATTGGACAACGAATTATTCGTTGAAACATTCTATAATTAATATAATCAAAATTTTAATAGAAATCAAAAGAAAAATTTACTTATTATGAAGTACTCGTCCAGCATTTAAACACATTAATTTCAATGTAAATGTACATAAGAAAGTTAATAATAATAGTAATATTGTTATACCTAATTATTATTATTTATCTTAACTTATTCTAATTATATTTATAAATAAACTTACCACAATAAATATAAAATTTTCGATTACGATATTCATTCCATTCATTTTCAGTCATTGAATATAAATTATTCATATTTTTATTAGTAATTGATGTACATTGATTAAAAGTTTTATATCGACGACTTTCATCATCACTCCATGTTGCTAACCACCAACTACTATATAAAAGGATAGCTTGATGTGCAACTAAAATGAGTAAAATAAAGAAAAAACCAAAAATACAACCAAGACCAGCTCTTATATATGAACTATAAACATTCCATTTAACAGATCCTTCTTGTTTTGTATCAATATTTGTCATTAATTCTTCTTCATCATCATCTCCTTTTTCTGAATATATTGTACTGATTGTTGATTGTTGTTTTTGAATATGTTTTGAAATTCCTAGTCTTTGTTGATGACTATCATCGAGTAAATAAGAAAATGAAGTTGAAGAAGAAATTAATTCACTATATGTACCAATTTGAATCATTTCACCCTTAAAAATAAATAATAATATACTTCATTAATAAAACTAAATTTTCTACATTATGAAGAACAATAATTTTTGTTGCCTCTTGTAAAAATTGTATTTGATGAGTGACTAATATACAAACTTTATCACGAAGATAACGTTTGATTGCTCTAAAGAAAAACAAAATATTAAATCATTTTTTAAATTAGATTTTTTTTTGTCTTTACCTTTCAAAAAGATGTTTGGCAACTTTAACATCAAGAGCAGAAAGAGGATCATCTAGTAGATAAATATCAGCATTATGATAAAGTGCTCGTGCCATATTCACTCGTGCTTTTTGACCCTATATAATATGAATCATTTATTTATTTATTTGAATAATCTAATCTATCATTCTTACTCCAGATAACATCACACCATGATCACCAACAAGAGTATTAGCACCATTAGATAACTGTTTAAAATCCTATAAATAGGTTGAAATAATATATGTCAGCATTCAATCTTTCATTGATTGATTGATGTGTGACTCTCTGCTCTCTTTCGATACTCGTAAATTTTGCAGAGTATGCTTGTGCCTCCTCTTCACACTCACAACCTATTTGTTCGTAGATATTATAGAAAAAACTTTAGATCTATTGGTGAAAAGGATAGCAGCTGAAGATTATTTTTAACTATAAGGTTCATGTTTTCTCTTCGAAAAAAGATGATTTGGTAAGTATGAGTTTTGTTACACTCACTGATATCGACTTGCTCTAAAAGCTTCAGAGAATCTTTAGTAAGTGAAAGGAGATATATCTTTACATAAATGTCAGACTCGCGACTTTTAATCAAATTTTGACAGCGTGAATCAGTGATTCTGTAAGACAATTATTATTACTTAGTTTTGAATCATTAAAATAAAACATCTAGTATTAACTGCAAGTAGATGTATGATAGTTCCAGATTAATACTAGAAGTGAAGAATAGTACATCAGCTTAATTGTACTAAACAACAAGAGAAATTTTCTAATAGCTCGTTTGATAAACAATAAGAAGTGTTGTTGCTTAACAAATTAGAGACAGGTTAAATTGAGAGGTTAGAATTTCAGCTCGGTTCGAGATTTCTCTCATTGATTCTCATAAAAAGCCTTATTTCTATGAATATTTGGTACACTTCATAGTACTTTGTAATATTCATTTCCATTAAAAAGTGTTCATCCATAGCACCCATTTAGATCAAACTATACTACTAGAGTTCCGTTCAACAAGATAGCGTCGAAAAATCGGCAATATTTATAGACATTTATTGCATACAAGTAATGATCACATTGCTTCTAGAAGGATCAAAGCGAACTGCTCAACATTATGTTGTCCTGTTGGGCATTACGTTTTAATGAATATACATTCCATTAAACACAACAAAGTGTACCAACTTTTTATATAGGGCTTCTCATTTTTTAGAGAAGTTAATGAGACGAATTTGTGCTTGAACCGAAATTCATGCAATCTTACATTCGCCTATGGTAATTAATATTACGTTAGATTCGAACATAATTATACTAAGTTTTAAATTAACGTACAGTGTCAAGTGCAGTAGCACGTACAGCACGTTGGAATAAATAATGATTGTATTCTTTACCAAAAAGAATATTATTTTTAATTGTCGATGAAAAGATCCCTAATAAAATAAAAATAATTCATGAACTTTTCTATTTTCAAATCTCACATGCTTCTTGTGGTACATAACAATATGATCCATCCAATTGAATTTCACCATCGAAATAAGTAATTTCATCAGTTAATGTTTGTAAAAGTGAACTCTAAACAAATAAAAGAATTCTATTCAAATAATATATTTATAATAGTTAAAAATACAAACTTTGCCTGATCCAACTGGTCCAATAATACATATTAAATCACCTGGATGAGCATCGAAAATAATATTTTTTAACACAAATAATCCATTCTAAATAAGATATACTTTAAAACATATTACTTTATAATTACTATTACTTTTTGCCATTGTGCTTGTTTTAAATTACATATCACTTGTATATTTTTCTCAATGTTATCATTATTAACTGTTTCTCTCTCATTCGATGATGATAACAATCGATTATTTTGTCCATATTCATCAAGTGATAGAAATGACTATAGAGAAAAAATCCTTTTTTTTCAAAATTAACAAAAAAAAGATTATTTAAACAAACTTCAATTCTTTTTCGAGCAGCTAAATAATTAGCAAGAAATCGAATACCCAAAGAAAAATATTCAATTACATATATTCTCATAAAATTTAATATACAACAAGCAATGACAAAGAAACGTGTATCAAATTGTATATTAAGTAACCACATTGTTCCAAATGTGATGAGTAAAGATATATTAGTAGAATTATTTGAAAGTAAAATTTGAATACAATCAACTAAAGAATATAAAGTATATTGAAGTATTTCTCGTCTAAATATATTCAAATTTTAAAATATCTCGAAAAAGAAAAACAAAATATTTAAATTGAAGTTACTTTCTAAGATGACAAATTCTTTTATTAAATGCTGTTTCCCAACAATACATTTTTACAATACGCATTGATTGGATTATTTCAGACATTATTTTTATACGTTCATCAGTGACTCGGAGAATTTTCGTACTAAAAAAAAAAAACATCATAGTCATTAGAATAAATAAATGATTAAGAAAGAAGAATAAACCGTAAATGAGTAAAAATACGGGTGTATAATGGTTGAACAAGAAGAAGAAAAACTGAATATGCTATAGCAATAAAAGCAATATATTTAATAAAATGCCAAAATACGATGGTAATGAAAATGGTTTGCAAAGGAGCAACCTAAAAATAAATAAAATTTTCAATATTTGTCAGGTCTTTAAACGATTTCAAATTTTTCTAATTCAAATTCACGTTTGGATTCAGTGATAGAATTCAAGTGTCGAATATTTAGGCAATGGACCAAGCGTTCTTGGAGATATATGAATTATGAAGGAACTACTCGAAAGTATGCTCAAATTTAGATAAAGCTATTTTGAAATAATTTATGACATTTTCCTGAGATACCTGTAGTTCTTCAACTTTTCAAACATTTTTCGTTCAGTGTATCTAGATGGTTCATACCCAACCTTGAAATCCTATCTGTTGATTTATCTGAGCTAGAGGAGTGAAGTTACCCTTCTATGACCAGTTACCAAGGAACGGATGAAGGAAAATTTGAGTGTTTGATTTTTTTTACTAAAGAAAGGCTACGTTGAGAAAGTAGCGATTCCTTGACTCCGAAAACATTTGATCAAACTTTATAAGGAACTGCTGTTTTCCAAAAATAGTCTTTCTTAGCAACTTCATTTTACTATCAACTAACTAAAAAATGACTAAACTCGATATTGATCGTGAGGATTCGCTTTTAGTATAGTCTGTTTAAGATAAACTATTGATTTTTTGATTAGATTCTTCAAAAAAATCTGTTCGTGTTAAACGCTCTTATTAAATTAGTACACTCTTGTCACTTTGAAATTTCTTTTATGTCATTTTGGATTGGTGAATAATGAGTACGATGAACGATGAGCACGGGAACGTTCAGCACCGACATTTTAACCACGCAAAAAAGAAGAAACTAATAAGGCTGTGAGCGGGTGTAGGTATCAATCGTCTCTTCAGCCATACTCACATGTGAAGGGAAAAATAACAGAGACTTCTGTCTCATGAAGTTCTGTGAAGTATTTTGAAAATTTCAAGTCTCTGTGCTTGAAGTCTGTTATTTTCTCCATCCTATGCTCACCTAATAACAACTCTACACCTACTAGTGAACTCTGCGCAGTCAAATTTTGTGACGCCGAAAGTTTTCAAGCTGCAGCTTCGATTCAGACGTCGAAAAAAAAAATTTTCCACTCTGACTTCAAAAAACTCCTAAAATTTGTTTGCATAATTAAGCGATGAATTTTCAGAAATCACAGAAGTAATGACTAAAAAAGTTTTGACAAAAATTTGAAAAATTCTCCGACTCCAACTGCGATTCCGTAAAATTCTGCTTTCGAAACTTCACTTCCGCGAAACATTCTGGTTTTCTAACTCTGTCAGAGTCAAGTATCGAAGTTCCATGCAATCCACTAACAATCATCCCAAATCAACTAGTAGAAGTTTGAAACTTAGAAATTCATAAATACTATTTTATTGAGCAACGTCATATATAAATGTAAGAGATCAACTATTGTGATCATCTATTGAATTTTTATTGTTCTTTATTTAAATTTTGACAGTTTAAAGGAAAACAGTATCTATGAATTTATTATACAAAATCCATATTCTCATTATCTCTTATGTATGTGAAACTTTGAAAGTTGGCTATCTTCTGACTACCATTCTATCACGATATGTTGATAGTTGTTCTCCAGTCGACAATCTACTGCCGGCAAACCGACGGTGGTACAAACAGATGTGGAACATGGATTAGCAATAATAATATTAAAAGACATAGTTAGAGTTTAATCCTTGTTAAATGAAAGGTTTTCTATTGTGAAGCTTGCTTGTTAAGTATTTCATTTCAATATTTTGACAAAGAACTTTAAAAAACTTACCCACAAATAATTGATAAAAAAAAGCATTAATTGAACTGTGTTACAATCATTAGATAATAAATTAGTAATTTCACCAGATGTGATAGTATTTATTGAATGACTTGATAAACGTAGTACCTTAAAAATAAACTTTATTCAATCTTATTCAATCACTTATTTATTATTTACTTTACGATAAATTAAACCTGCATAAGCTGCAGATATTTGTAGAGCATATATGTCAGTTCGATAAAAATGCTATAAAAAGTAAAACTATATAAACAATTTGTTAAGTTCATATTAAAATACTCGATGAATAGTAAGACTGGCACATAATGGAATTAATATTATTGCTATAGCTAGAAGCCAAGCATGCCAAGCAGGCATTGAAGAACATGGTTCAAAAAAACCCATGAGAAATGTAAATAATAATGATACAGTAATCTGAGCCATTCCCTCAAAAAACAATAATCAAATGACTTAAATAATTTAATAAATAAATCAAAATTTTAACTTACATGTAACAATGCTAAAACACCACGAAGAATTGGTTTCCATCCAAAAGTACGTAATGTAACTCGAATTAGACTTGGATTTTTCGGACATCGTTTTACTTCATCAAACCAATTTGTTTCAAGTTTATCAGTAAGATCAGTTGATTTAAGATAAGGTGGTAGAGCATAAAGATCATTCAATTCTAATACACCTTGTTTATGACTTTTTCTTAATAAAGGAGATATCCAACTATTGAAAATCATCAAGATTTTGATTAAATTAATTTAGAATTTCAATTAAGAAAAAAAAAGACTTACGTGTAAAACAATTGAGAGAAAATATTAGCTTGTAACACTGGGCACGACTCGTCTGCAGGTGATGACATCTAAGTCAAAATAACAAATATTTTTTAGCTCCACAGCATAGAATTATGCGCGTTTTAGAATGCAAAATAATATTTATTGACATTAAAAAAAAACAAGAATCAATCAATACATAGAACTTTCTCTCTCCTTTACAGCAATATGTTAGATTTCTCAAATGTCATTCGTATTTTTTATTTATAAATACAGAATTAATTGCAATGAGCCCATAATCAATGATAACAACTTTCATAAATGCTGATATCTTCATGTGAAAAGCAATAATCCTAAAAATATGGATCACTATATACATTGAAACTTTTCAACATTCTAACCTTTAATCGAAATACAAGAATAGAAGTTTTGTTCATCTACAATTTAGTATTTTATTAATGGTTATAATTAAAATTTAGATTAATTTATAGTAGCATGTTGATGAGTTCTTTTGTTTTGTGAGAAATCATGTTAAGATGAGTTTTGTTTAATCCGCAATGTGATATAGTAGTTCATAATAATCATTAAATAAATGATAAAATGCTCTATTTTGGAAATTTAATGATCATAATCACATTAAGTACTTAAAGTTGATATAGATATATATTTGGTTATAGATGATCTATCATCGACATATAGACTAGTTGTCTTGTGATTCGAAACTTATATGTGCATTAAACTGTAACTGTCTATATTAAGTAAATCATGGTACTGAAAGCTTTGAACGAAGTACAGAGCATATTGAAAGTAGTAATGTTTGCAGATAAAAAGTCTATAGAATAGACTTCATTGAATTTCTTCTTCTAGTAAATTTTCGACTTAATAGTGCTAAAGATTCTTTTCGAATAATCATTGATTCAATATTAGTTCAGAACTGTAGTTACATCGCTTAACAGAATTATTAGTGGCCGTTTCAATTGGCTAAAATTGGTTATGAATAAAGAAATTCTAATTATTCGAAATAAATGAATAGCCATGCTAGAAAAAGATTAAATTAGTTCCTATCGGTTCGGACTAACCGGTGGAAATTTTTGATTTAATCGGCTGGTTTAGTTACAGCACTCAACCTGACGATATATTGGTCCTTTTAATATATCTATCATGTAACTAGTTCTTTATTGAGAAAAACCGTCTTACTCTATATAGCTAATACTAATAACAACGGAAAAAATCTTTCATGTAGTAACTCACAATAATTGATATTAAATACTATTTAACTATTTTGTTTTGTCTGACTTTCTTCAATAAAAATATGATTCTTTTTATAAGAATTGATAAGTTTGATATTTTCCTTTTTTAAAATCATTATTTATCACACCTGCTAGGCGGCTTCTCAATTCTTATAAGACCATTACTGCAAATAAAAAGACAAAAGCTAGAAACTTTCGAGTTTATATTTCTGAATCATTAAAACCATAGGTAAGAGGAAGTGCAGATATCAGCAAAATAGTGACATTAATATCGGCACACCTTCTACTTAGGTTACATGTACTTCCAAACATCTGTACAATACAGAAGTAGCAGAAACAAAAATAAGAGACAAACAGTAGCAGGAATCCGATGACCGACTCTGTCCAATCATGATTGGAACTAGAAAAAATCGGTCATTAGATTTGATCGCCGGACTCCTGCTTCTAAGTTCTTATCGTTCTCCCGAGTTTTCCGATGAGAATTTGATGGGAATTCATGCATTTGGGCGTCGGAATTATTAATCTGGGAATCTCAATTAGCATTGCATGCAAAAAATAAAGACAATACTCCAATACAAATGAAACAAAGAAAAAACAACCATTTTCGTAGTTCTCGATTAGTCGATAGTAACCATTTTTGCAATGTAGAACGAAAGCAGAGAAATTAAGTTTTATAGCGTTTATTGAAGAATCACACCGAGTAATGATTTTTTATGATATTCTAATTTCATAGAGTTACATCTCAAACAAGCAGTATTAAGCAAAATACATACAACAAATATTAAATATTTAGAAAAAAAAGACAACAATATTCTCATTAGTTGTCATGTCCAAACAAAAAATTTCTTTTTCAATCCGTTTTACTTCTCTTTGCCTTGACAATGAGAATCACTAAAGATGATACAGATCATTATTGCATTTTTTATTAGACTGTCCATGCTGTATGTGTGGTCTTGATGTTAATTGAACTATTATTGTTTATGACTGATATACAATCATCTTGATCAATCATTAGCACAAGCTTGTTATTGCATGAGCAGATAAGTATACGATGGAAGTAAAGAATGATCAAATAATTTGAGACGAATAGACATACGACATGCAGATATTAATAAGTAACATATATTCAATATTTGCACGGTCGCCCGAGATCTACCACTCTTTATTATGTTCACAGATTTATAGTTCCCACAGTACTATCACATTTGAGTAATGACATTACTCAGCAATGCTGTATCTCTCTGCACGTTCTGTACAATAAATTATATTGACTTCTTTATATAAGCTTGACTCTGACAAAAACTAACAGAATCCTGTTGTCAGGATTGTAATATATCAATAACATTAATGATGAACTGATGGATTTGCGTTATTGGCAGAATATCCATACAGATGATTTTACTATATTGAATCAGAACGTATTATAATTATTATAAAGTGCTCTGTCAAATTGACAGACTCAATTAAACAGAATAGTTTTTAATCATTCTGTTGTATGCTACAACCATGGTAATAGATTTTTTTTTAAACAATGATTGTTCCAAAAGAACTTTCAGTACATTTGTTAGAACGAACTGATAATATGTACGTAACCATAAATACTATGTCAAATATTTACTGAAGAAAAAAAACTTGGCTAAGTCTGTTTTGTAGACTTTTATCTCTGAACCTTACAGCTTTTTGTATACCCTAAGTAGCATCATTGATTAGTCAGACAAGCTCAGTGACGAATTGACAGGAAGTGCAATGGTGGCTATCGTCCCTCCTATCCGAAATATTTTTTGATTTTTCTCACTATAATACGCCAAAAAATGAGCCGATACAACTTCTAATTAACTTCAAAATACGTTGTGTGACCATAATCGCTCCTCTTTCTCAAAACCCTAAAACCTTCATTGGAAGGACTATGACAATAGAGAACGGTTCAAATTTAGTTGATCTTTAGAGTGTTTCTAATTCTACCGCTTACATTTAAAATTGGAATTTCTTTGTTCGAAGAAGTACAACTGTACGATGAAACCATTCAACCCATTTCGACAAGGCATATCGACTCATATATTTTTCAAATAAATTCGAGCTCATCTAATGTATCTCTTCATATAGTTTATGTTACTATATGTTTTTTTTAGTCTCAACTGTAATAAAATGAATCCATATCCGAAGATCAAATACAATGAAGTTCGATGATACTATAAAACTCTGTATATCGAATACTATGTGATCTATGAACTTAATATAGTTTACAGATCAATACTAAGAAAAATGAGTGTTGTTTCAATACGATACTCTTATTTCTACTGCAATCAATGGAGTACAAAGTACAGAGTTTTAAAATCTACAATAACTGTATAATAGTAGTACGATATTGCTATATAAATTTCTAGAGTATACAACTAATTGAAAAGGATTTACCGGAAAAGAAAAATTGTTACTAAATCGTCTATTGACTGATTTTAGTATTACAGTATGCAATTACTTCATCATTGTGCTTATATGCGTTGTTTTCATTGCTGAAAAACAACTCAATAATTTAGTTTGCTGTTTTCCGAAAAGTAAGAAAAAAACAAAAGCACCTTTCTAACTTATTATACAACTGAAATTATCAATGAAATATAAAAAAAGAATTTTTTTTTTGGTCGCGCTCTATCAACACACCTATCTTTGACATCATCTAATTGATGTCTTGTATCTATGATGTGAATTATCATAATAGTAAAGATCTGTTATTTTTTAGATATATTCATTATTGTTAGTTGAATTTTGAAAAATGTTAAAAGAAAAAAGCCAGGCATAAAAATTGATCAATAGTAGTTAATACTCATCAACAGCCTCTTCTTCATCCTAAATAAAAATAAATTTTTAAATTATAATTAATATTCTCAAGTAACTGATTACTTACAACAATTGTATCAATACCAACTTCTTCATAATCTTTTTCCAATGCTGCTAAATCTTCTCGAGCTTCACTAAATTCACCTTCTTCCATTCCTTCACCAACATACCAATGAACAAAAGCTCGTTTTGCATACATCATATCAAATTTATGATCAAGTCGAGCCCATGCCTCTATCGTAAACAAAAAAAAAATAATAATACTATTTTTTAATTCTAAATGCATTACCAGCAATTGCTGTCGTATTTGCTAGCATACATAAAGCTCTTTGCACTTTAGCAAGATCTCCACCGGGAACAACCGATGGTGGTTGATAATTTATTCCAACTTTAAAACCTGTCGGACACCAATCAACAAATTGAACCGTTCGTTTTGTTTTAATCGTTGCTATAGAAGCACTAACATCTTTTGGTACAACATCACCACGATATAACATACAGCATGCCATATATTTTCCTATCATATACAAAAAAAAATAATAATAATAATAAATTCATATGTTTGTTTTTGATTTACCATGTCGTGGATCACATTTAACCATTTGATTAGTTGGTTCAAATACTGCATTTGTAAGTTCTGCAACTGATAATACTTCATGATAGGATTTTTCAGCTATTAAAAATCAATAAATAAATATAAAATAAGAAATCAAAAAATTGTTTCTATACAAACCACTTATAATTGGTGCATAGGTTGCTAATGGAAAATGAACTCTTGGATATGGAACAAGATTAACTTGAAATTCACTAAGATCAACATTCAAAGCTCCATCAAATCGTAATGAAGCTGTAATAGATGATACAATTTGTGCTAATAATCGATTAAGATTAGTATATGTTGGTCGTTCTATATTTAAATTTCGACGACATATATCATATAAAGCTTCATTATCAACTAAGAATGCACAATCTGTATGTTCAAGTGTTGTATGAGTTGTAAGAATTGA